GTTCACCTAACGGTGGAGGGGAGGGGGATTAAACTGAAGAAAATGGGGGCAAAAATAAAAGTAGTTAACGAGCATACATTCCCTGGGTATGTTAACTTGGCGTAAAGAAATCTAAAAAAAACTCCAACTTATCAAAAGCCACCCTGATAAGAAAAGAACACAATGTGTTACGTAGAAAATACTTAGAGGGAATCCTGATAAATATCTTCTCATCAATGAACGCGCGCCAAACAGATTATATTATATCACCAAATTTTATAAAATCTATAGTTAAAGAATCTAAGGTTAATCTTAGAGCAACCATAACCGGTGTCACTTAATTTATTTCCCTCCTGCATAAAACTTTCTCCAATCACCAACATGGACTTTACCAGACAGAATGGAAACTCGGCGCATACACACACATACACGTACAGACATAACCGTTTTACGTACAGAATTATGATACACACACACATATATGAATTATACACACGGACGCAACTTTATCGTCAATGTAAATTCGATCAAGAGTTCGATTTTACATTGACGATAAATCGCAAACGGTAATCGAGCACAATGTTTTAGTGTCATTTTCGAAATAACCAAGCAATTTCACACCAGAACGGTACATTCTCAATATTGAGGCTTTGGTGCTTATACTGTAAATTAATCAAAAATTCCATTGCAACGGACGACACTTAAATCTCATGACCTTTTCAAGGCTTATTCATGTATAGCTTCCTATAGTTAGAAATTGGGAATGTTTATACACTAAGAATTATTTTTTTTTAAATATATTGGCAAAAAATGTTATGTGCTTTTTCAATTTTGACTCGTCAATGTACGTTTCACATAATATCACCAATCCATCGCCTGAAAGCAATGAAGAATTTTAAACGATTTTTAAATAATAAATTATAGATTTTTAAATAATAAATTATTTCATTTTTTTTACAAATGAAAACAATTCTTGTCAAAATGAATTATTCATCAAAAATCTTTTCTTCTTAAGACAATAGTGTTCTTAATAAATCTTATCTATCAAAGCAATTAAAAGCTTTTCTAATTAAATAATGTCATAGTTTTATTGCATTTTTTATTTTTCGTTCATATATCGAGATTGTTCCCATTAAAAGCAATTTTTCAACGCGTTTCAAAGAAGTTATCACTTTCAAAAAATTGAGTTTCTAAATAGAGATTAGATCCATGAAAATATACTTAATATACTAGAACGTTAGTTAAACATCTCCTGTTATAAAGGTCACTGGGCCGAAGATCGTCTCTCCAAATAAGTTATCTGAATGTAGATTCTTTGAAATACTTTAACAGGAAGGCAAACAGAGGTCTGTCTCTTTTTTTAGTTCTTTCAAGGGGGGTATATCTCTGCCTGTTTTAATTCCTTGACAAATTTTTAAAGGATATCTCTACTTTAAGTTAAAATTTAATAACTTTATTATAGTTTTAATGCGACTAGAGAGGCTTTTCCATCGCTCGGTCCATACTCTTTATTTCCATTCATTTGAACAGGACTAGGAGTTTATCCTTGTATGCTGTTTAGGAAGGGGTTCCCGGTCCTTTTTCTTTTCTCAGGCCTAAAAATGAATTACAGTACCACTTAATAGTGGTAATGTAATTAATTTTTTGTGATATGTGTGGATGGTGGCAACGTCCCTTCATACTGAGGGTACCAGGTTGGCGGTTTTCTGGCTTCTGCTTACCGACTGGTAGTTAGGAGTCCGAAGTTTTGCACGGGATCTTGAGAGGCCGCTCTGTTCAGCAGTCGAATAATATCGGGGTTCTTGTCGTGTCATGTCGCGCATAAAAGTGTGTCCCTTCAAGCACCTCCGGTAGGCAATCCCGATGCCACACTATGTTGTAGTTTGCGCCAGTTCCCTCCACGTTCATGTCACATTAGACGACTAACTGCTACTACTGCCCTAGACCTTTCCTTGCCAAAATAACACACCATGACTACACTGCGTGGCAAATTATTATCGAGATAACTTTTTTTCTAATATTTCAAAAACCGTCCAATCAATTCACACAAAATGTTCATACAATGTTGGCAACACTGAGCTGCGCAATCACGGAAATTTTCGTACTGATCTGATTGGCGCCATATTTGTTATCAGCACGGTGATTTGAGCGTGCCAAATTATTAGAAAAGTATAAGAACTTAGTGAAAAGATGGGCCGTAAAAGCAGTTTAAGTGATGCTGATAACAAATATGGCGCCAATTTGTTTACACTGCGCAGATCAGTACGAAAATTTCAGTGATTGCGCAGCTCAGTGTTGCCAACATTGTATGAAAATTTTGTGTGAATTAATTGGACGGTTTTTGAAATATTAGAAAAAAAAGTTACCTCGATAATAATTTAGCACGCAGTGTATAAGCAACCAAAGACATAAAACTAAACAATCTCAACAAAAAACACCTAAACCTTTCACCTGTCTCTTTCAAACATTGGTGGTATTCGTACCAACCTTTGCATTGTGGAATTAAACACAGGGAACAATATTAGGGTATTCAGAAAGGGTTGAACTCCTGAGCGCTGGTTTTAAAGACTAGCTTATTATCACGCTTGTCATCACCCCTGAGATATTCAATAAACATGAAACTATAAGGGAGGGACACTAAGTGAACTTTGAACTAACTGACAATGACAAATTTGAATATCCGGATAATATGACACCACATTTTTCATCGTTTTTTATGTTTTTAAAACAGTGCAGATACTTTTCAAGCTAGTCTGACATAAGGTCAAAGTACAAGTAAGCTGTATGTGATGAGCAAACTGACTTATAAGTAAGAGGTGTTTACGCTGAGTAATAATTTTCCAAGGGAATGAAATAGTAACCAGCATAAACTCTTTGTCACGAGTGAATCAAGACATGTACACAGAAGTGGATGGCAAAGGATTTTATCTAAGTTAGAAGTTTTTGATGTTTTTTATGACAAGCAATAACATATAAAAAGTAATATATTCAATGCGGCCATCCACTAACCAAAAGAAATTTAAAAATTAGCTAAATAAATGAACACTTTCGGGAACATGTGCCACTTGGTCGGAAGGTAGAAAATTCTGCTCGCAGACTTACATAAATAATCCGAATAGAAACAAAAGGAGTTCCACTGCATGCCTGTCAGCGGATTACAGACTGTTCGTCAATAGATTTAGGAAGTTGTGTTAGTCACGACTTTCTGTTAAGAAGTTGTGAGTCATACCTAAGATGGGTATTAAGAGTCACAGTTCTCACCGGCCTATCCGTTAGGCTGTCATGACAGAAATAACAGATGCTTCAAGTGTTGCCTACCTACCTGTGTGACACTATGTTTGGGACACACATACCAAGAAGGGAATGGTGTGCGAAACTAATCTTAACATTTCAATCGCCTCCTCTGACTTATGTCTGCGAACATCTCCCAATGGCTAGGGAACTCTCTCTCTCTCTCTCTCTCTCTCTCTCTCACTCACCCTCTCTCTCTCTCTCTCTCTCACACTCACTCACCCTCTCTCTCTCTCTTGAATCTCCAGAACATTCTTACATCTGTCTCTGTCTCTCTCTACTAAACTCAGTCAGCTATCTCTTCTTTCTCTACTGTTCCACTTCATCTCAAGACTATTGCGTTCGAGATATTTCTGATAATATGGACAAGGCCAGATTCCTACACCTGTTTGCAAATATATTTCTTTTCCGTTACTTTAGTGCGCACCGTACCAGGTGACTTAATCACTCTGTCATTGACCTCGCTGGCATCCATACTGATAAACACGCTCTGTCCGAAGAATGGTTTGATCACTTTTTTACGCAATGAGTGCAAGGGTGTCCTCAATGAAGCAAAGTTACTGTTTGCTGATAAAATGAAACAACGTATAGCATTTCGCAAGTTCGATTATAGCGTTCGGCGGCTGTGCAAGAGTGTGCTGAACAACAGCAAATTCTCAATCGCTCGTGTATTCAATCAATTCGAAGTTCTGACATCTACAGCAAATAATGTTGAATGCTTTGCTCGGAAATTCTCTTCCAACTCAACACTCGACTCATTTAGAGTACCCACACATGATTTCTTAACTAGAACAGAGGCTCTACTGGTCTCAAACATCATATATATATATATATATATATATATATATATATATATATATATATATATATATACCCAAGTATATGATTGGTATATATGGAATGAATTCCAATAACCGACAAATACTATTCCAAAAAGAGTGCTCAATATAAAGTAGAGCAGATATAATTATTTATTTAAAAAAAAAATATAACATGAATATGTTATAAAATCACTACAAAAATAGCCAGTGAGGATGTTGAATGGCCTTACATTCAACATCATCACTTGATAAGACACCGAGGGTGTTGAAACAAAATGGCTATTTTTTGTAGTGATTTTTATAACATATTTATGTTATAAATTTTTTTTAAATAAATAATTATATATATATGCAAATAATGAAAAGTTTGGTAATCCGTATGGATAATCCCAAGGAGGATGTAATCCAGAGAGCTCAAACCAGAGCAGTTATTAAGATTGCTTTCTATTTAAATTGTATACACACACACACACACACACACACACACACACATATATATATATATATATATATATATATATATATATAAGAAGAAATATAGTTTTAAGGTGTGCTATATTTATGGGATAAATTGCCCAATATCAGAGATAGAGCGTATGTAAATATAAATATGAAAGTGAACACTGAAGTCAACACTCAGAGGCGACAGGCTGTTTCATGCCTGTCGCCTCTGAGTGTTGACTTTAATAATTCATTTATATATATATATATATATATATATATATATATATATATATATATATATATATATATGTTTTTGTAAATCGACATTACATAAAACATTAGACTAAAGATGTAAAAGAAAAAATGAGCTGTTTTTTATATTATTAAAAAAAAAACTTGGTCTTTGGTCACATGGTATTGGAAAGTCATTTTCAGATGTCTTTCTTTTTACCAATTTTTATTTTCTTAATTTCGACATTTGTTAAAAGCTAGATTGACTGGTTTTCCTTGGATATCAACCTTCCGCTCTCTGCTGGACATTCTGTAGGCCCTGAAAGAAACAAAAAATATAAAAAAATGTAAGTTTCTCGAAAATCATTTCCGCAGAATTTTTTTTTTTTGTGAATTTTTGTGAATCGAATTTGTTTCTACTGGATTTGTTTAAAAGACAGAAGTCGATCTCTACGGGATGGGTGCGATGAATAAATGTTTTCTTGCTCAAACATCAAAGTTTTAACATTTACTATTAAAAATCACTTAATATAATACCCGAAATGGTCCTTATAGACCTCTTCTGCAACTATAAACATCAAGAAACACTTTTTCCGGCTATACCAGCGTAACAGTCCGGATCACAACAGGCACTTATTTATGTCTGCGCGTAAGTTCTTGTTTCCTGATAGAGTGAGGCAAACAACTTTGATTCTCATGACTACTGGCGGCTCTGTAATAGTATCTTAAATAACATATTCTACTTATAAAGAAGAAGGCATCTGTCTATATTTCTGAGATAAGGGATTATGTACGCTATTTACATTATTCGGACTATTGTTCTCACCTTTTTCGCCATATTTATTACAACGTTTCGGCCCTTCAGTATCTTTCTATATTTCTGAGATGAGGTATTATGTACACTATTTATATTATTCGGTCTATTGTTCTCATCTTTGTCGCCATATTTATTACAACGTTTCGGCCCTTCAGTATCTCTCTATATTTCTGAGATGATGTATTATGTACACAATTTTCATTATCTCTATCGCCATATTTATTACAATGTGGGAGACTGTTTTAGTTTCACGTGCCATGTTAAATGAATGTCTGTTATCTCCTGTTAATTCCCCTCTCTAAGTTCTCTCCAAGTTCTCCACTGCCTTAACTGGGTATTGAACTTTTTGGAGCCTTTATCCACTGTGCCATGTGTCCTTGAGGACATCTGCGTATGAATTTCTGGGTATTATAAACCTAATGTCTCAGCAACCATTTTTTACCAGAGCTCATATTGCAATTTTTTTTTTTTTTTTTTTTTTTACTAGAGCTCATATTGCAATGTTTGTTGTTATTATCGCTTTTCTCTGGCACTCCTTATTACTGGTTCCCATATTATATTCATTTCTATGCTTGGCCAGCTCAGGAGATTTTTGTGGCCTAAGCAGAAGGTTTTGCTCGTAAATTCTCTTCAAATTCTACTCTTCTCTCAGATCTTGCCCAATAAAATTTACTTCTAAAAATCACTCAATATAAGGCTCGAATTCCCCTCAAGGTAGACGACTACATTATTGATGAACGAGGTATACTATATGAAAAAAGAAGTCGAAGGAGATAAAGGTTATGGGACTAAAGGGGAAATATAATGATTGACCCTTGACCTGTATAGTTCAAGATTTTATTGTCCAGGGGAGCGTTCTCGCGGCAATCTTTTCTGCAAAGATGTATTTTATGGATAAAAAAAAACTGTCTGGGTGGAATTTCGTTCTCACATTTAAACACGGGGGAAATGAGGCTGATTTGACTCTTTGGGAATAACATGGCGTCTCCTGGTAAAAAATTTCCGATCCTGACGGAGCCAATTACTGGAGCTATTCCGAACGTTTACCATGTAGAGATAGGCTGACAATGTGACATCAGCGGGAAACAGGCTGAATATTTCAGAATATGTCTTCTCCAACAAAACCACGGAAACGATTTTGAACTAAGACAAGGCTGAAAAGTGGGGATTGAGTACCTCCTGCCCAGATACGACAGCAATACTCCATTTTAAGTCTGGTTTGGTTCTCGTAAATATAAAGCTTGGCAGAACAAGCCAAGTATTTCCTGGAGAGATATAAGGAGCTGGCCATTTCTCCAGCCTTTTTTACAATGGATTGTATATACTCATATATATTATACACGAATTAATTCCTTCCTTAGTTTTCCTGTTAAACTAGTAATGAGTAACGAGGCTTTAAGTTCCTAATATGATTGGTAAAACAACTTACTTATTTTTCGAGATGAAGTAGACTTCATCAGTGGAAGCTATTGTTGCGTCGATCTCATGTGGTATATTGACGACATAGTCACGTGTTCGATATCCTCTGCCACCAGCCCAGATACTATAGCAATACTCCGTTTTGAGTCTAGCTCTTGTAATATAAAGCATGGGAGAAGAAGCCAAGTATTTTCTGGAGAGGTATAAGGAGCTGGCCATTTCTCCAGCATTTTTAATTACTAGAATTTTTGCAACATACTGCTGCGTTTTAGAATCCTCACAGTATTTAATATATTTGAAATTATCGCTAAGATTTATAGTCGAGATTTACAAACTCTACGTTTCGTTCAATTTCGCAAACAATCGATGAAATTGGAATAAGGTAATTTGTTTGAAATAAGGTAATTTGTTTGGAATAAGGTAATTTGTTTGGAATAAGGTAATTTGTTTCTCCAGTATCTTTAACAGGGGTTTTCATATACTGATACAATACACTTATATTAATAGTACAATACACTTATACAAAAATGAATTTCTTTCTGTCTTTTCTGTTAAACTGATAATGAGGAAAGTGGTTTAAAGTTCTTAATTTGATTGGTGAAACGACTTACTTATTTTTCGAGATGAAGTAGACTTCATCATTGGAAGATATGGCTGCGTCGATCTCATTTGGAATATTTACAAAAAAGTCACGTGTTCGATATCCTCTACCAGGAGTTAGGCTTTCGTCGTAGGGATGGAATTCCATGAAGAATCCATTCTGTCGAAGAAATATATAAAAAATGGATGAAAAAAAAAATAGACAAGGGATATTTGTTCAAATAATCGTCACAATGATGAAATGGTTGCTTTATTAGTTACAAGAAAAAGAAAGAAAGAACGGATATGAGAATAAATAAGAAAGAAAGAAAGAAAGAAAGAAAGAAAGAAAGAAAGAAAGAAAGAAAGAACAGAAAGGCTATAGCGGGTGTTAAGATAAAATAGAAAAGAAAGAAAGAAAGAAAGAAAGAAAGAAAGAAAGGAAGAGAAAAGAAATAACAAAAAAGGGCAAAAATAAAATAAAGATGGAAAGAAAAAAGAAAAAGAAAATCAAGAAAGAAATTAAAAGAAGGAAAGAAAAAATGGAGAAGAAAAGAGACAAAGAAAGTAAGAATGGTAGAAAGAAAGAAGGAAAAAATAAAGAAAGAAATGTAGATAAATGAAAGAAAGAAAAATAAAGAAGGGAAGAAAATAAAAAATCAAGAAGGAAAATAAGAATTAATAAATAAAATAAACAAACAACGAAATAAAATAATGAAGAAGAAAAGAAAGGAAACGCAATAAAGAAAAAGAACGAAATAAAAAATGAAAGGAATGAGGAAAGAAAGAAAGAAAGAAAAGAAACATGAGAAAAAAAATAAAGAAAATGAAAATAAATAACAAAATAGGAAAAATGTAGAAAGAAAGAAAGAAAGAAAGAAAAGATAAAGGGAAATAGAAAGAATGAAGTTAAATAAGGAGAGAGGGGGAGAGCGAGAAAGAATTGTACAAACCTTAATGAGAAATAGTCTTTCGGCGCCATGATTGAAATTTATCACACTTTCTGGATTGTGACCGTAATTGTTGGAAATACGTTTGGGAAAATTCTTGCTCAAATGGAATCGGCCGGCTGAATCGAGACTGTAGGCCCAAACATTCTGATCTAGATAAAGAAATAAATAAATAATAATAATAATAATAATAAGAAGAAGAAGAAGAAGAAGAAGAAGAAGGGCTTCTCCCTGAGGGGTCACCAATTATTCTCATTAATCTGATCGACCATCAGCTCTTTCTATATCAGCTAGGGAAGAGCAAATATTTCAAGAAATCAAATCTCTGACTTGGTCATATGGGACAAATCGAATTAATCTTTACAGAATACTTACAGCTAAACAAATAAGCTTTTTGGACCTGTTCAGAATATACAGCGGCTTGTACCATATTAGGGCCATCTGGAAAGAGGCTGGAGATTTCCATTTTATGTCCACTTCGACCGTCGATAACATAGCGGTAGTCAACAAAAACAAAGTCGTTTCCAGAAACTAAAAAGAGAAAAGAAATAAAAAGATATTTTAAAAATAGGATTTTAAAAGAAACATTTGCAAAATGTTCTGGAAGTTTTAAGGAAAATAAGAACAGAATGGTCCTCCCTCGTGTTTCGGATTAGGAAGAGAGAGTTGAACTTTCTGGGACATATTATGAGGACAAACGTCTTGGAAAATTTGGTATTCATTCATATAATGGCATAACGAGTTTGTAACTGGAGGAACGAGGGAATGTAGCTCGTCAGACCATTTTCTATAGAAATAGCGACAGAATGGTAATCGGTTTGCAGTATTTCGGCTCTGGGGAAAGTGGTTGTAGGGTGGAAAATAACGTCTCGTTCACAAGGCTTTTCAAACTCCTTTGAATTCTGTCATGGTTTGAAAAAGAGAATTGGGCGGCACCAGCCCAGATATGGCCGCAATATTCCATTTTGGATCTGATTGTGAGTCATACTTACATTCAGAAGGAGACAGTTGAAATTTCTGGGACACATAACGAGGAAAAGGACTTGGAGAAACTGACACTCAAAGGACATATTGAAGAAAAGAGAGGTAATGGGAAACAGAGGGTATCCTACCTAACGAGCTTGTGTAAACGAATGACAGAACAGGAACTGGGGCTGATAATAAGGAGACAAATATTGCTTAGATCTACTAAATGTAGGAGGCTGTGGAGAGCCATGATCACTCTCATAAAAGAAGGAAAACTTGCAAAAGAACAAGAGTGTAGAGAGTGCGATCCTGAGTGTATCACTCGCTTACTGTGTCCTTGTGCCAGACCATAATAAATGTAGTAACTATAACGCCTGCCTTAGAGCAGATGTCAGCAATCTCGTTACACCTTCCCTAGACGTGACAAGTTAAACAATGACGAGTAAATATCTACTTCGGGCGCCTGTCGTAGAGTAGTGATCTGTAAGCTTACTATTGCTCCACTGGCGAGTTCAATCTTCATTGGGTGCCCAGTTGTTGTTTTCAAAACAACAAAGCTGAAATCATATATGAGATGAATGTCGGACATGCTCATAGCGTAGCAGTTATCGAGAAGTGCGATCGACGTGCCGAAATTTCGCCACAAATACCCTTGGCTAAGGCAGGAATCCATTTCTTCTCTGCCCCAGATTCTTAACTTTCTCAGTGAGTTAAATAGCAGGGCGGATTGGGCTCCTTAGCCTTGTTTGGTAACCAGTCTAGAAGTAGGATAACTCTGAATTCAAAACCTGATGGGCAAAAAGCTGATATCCTCACTTCGGTGAAACAACAGCAGCAAAACATAGATGTGGTCGGGTGGATGGCCGTGGGTCTCAAAGATACCCGGGAAAATCATATCTTTGAATGAAATAGTGAAATAAAGTGAATGACCCATTTCTCTGTATGAATTTCGGGAAGGCCTACGCCCAACAAAGAATCTTCACAGGCTGGTCTAAGAAGAAGAAGAAGAAGAAGAAGAATCTCCGACCATCAGAAGGTGATTCATTGACTATATACAGTTTAAGTTGAGCTGACTTACTTCTCATGGCTGCGTCAATGTTTGCGTAGGGATGATTACAAAATCCTGTGCCTCCTGTTGGTCTGTTTGTAACAGTTCTGCGTGTTGTTGGAGGCCTTCTTGGTGTGGTCGTTCTGGGTGTGGTCTTTGTAGGGGTGGTACTTCTGGGGTTACCGGTGGTTACCTTTGTTGATTTCTTGCCTGCAAGCAAACGATATATATAGAAACAAAAAAAAACCTCACTCTTCAGCACAAGCGTGCCGTGGTCTGGTAACAAGCACAAAAATATAATTATTTATAGGTGGTTTTTTTTTTAATATGTTCGTATTGAGCTCTGGTCGGGGAGATATAGCGTCAGCCGCTATGACAGGCGTGACATAATTTTTATGGATTTGTTTTCGTCGAGAACGCATTTCACTATGAGGCATCTAGACTCATAAATGTCGGTCTGGTATAGTTTTGATTTCGCCACTGAAATGTTATATACTCAACAATATCCATCGGCATTTCAACGTTTGGATTCGAAAAACTAAGCCGACAAATAATTCGTGTTTGAGCGCTGTTTTGTAGGCTTTTTGTCAGGAGAATAATGTTTAATTTTTAGACACTATATGTTGTGTTTTGGGATTTTGCTGGTTTACACACCTACAGAAAGGACAACTGTAAATAGAGCTACTGCACTTGCAGATGTTGTATGTAGAACTTTTATGTTGTTTGTAGATGTTGTGTTATGGCAGTAAAGTTCCTCATTAAAAAAGCTACAGACATAACGAGTGATTATCACAAGATGGGTGTAGAATGAGACACTCCCCAATAAAAGATAAAAATCAGTCCACTTACCGTAAAGTCTCTGAATTCCTGCAATATCGTCCCAGTGAAGTTTAAAGTTATCGGGAAACAATTGATATCTTGGTGCCATTAGTGATCTTTGATTTTCTGAGTGTCTAAGGCCGAGGGCGTGGCCGAATTCATGAGCAGCGACTGTCTCCAAATCAGTCCCTCCCGATTTTCCGTTGATCCAGATTTCGTCGTCATCAAAATGGGTGTCACCATTTTGAGGGAAGAAAGCATGGGCTAAAAAGTAACCTGAAAAATCCCGAGGCACAAAATGATGATTAAAAAACTAGGGACAAAATGTGGTGAAGAGAAGGAAGACGAAGGAAAAATAGGAGGAAGAAAATGGGTTGAGAAAGAGGGAGAAAAGAGAGTGGGTGAAAGAAAGGGGAGGAGGAGGAAGAAGAAGAGTATAAAGGAAGGAGGCGATAGAAAGAAGAACAGTATGGCACATAGGAAGAGGTGGAGAAGGAAGAGGAGAAAGTAAAAGGGAGATAGAAAGAAGAACAAATACTGAGTGAGGAGGATGAACAAAATATGAGAAAGAGGCAGAAAAGAAAGGGACAAAGAAATAAGTTGTTGACAAAACGAAATCAAAGCGAAAACAGAAAGAAAGAAAGAAAGAAAGAAAGAAAGAAAGAAAGAAAAAGAATGTATAAAAGAAAGAGGAGGGGTATGGTGATAAAGGAAAGAGGCGATAGAAAGAAGAACGAGACGAGGAAGGAGAAGAGAAAAGTGCTGTAGAAAGAAGAAATAATATTGAGAGAGGAGGGGGACATCGAGTAATACGAGAGAGAGGGGGAATAGACAGCAAGTGAGAAAGAAAGAAAGAAAGAAAAAAGAAAGAAAGAAAGAAAGAAAGAAAGAAAAAAGAAAGAAAGAAAGAAAGAAAGTAAGCAAGAAAGAAAGAATGTTCCTTGTGCATTTCTTTCAACTTACCCTTTCCATCAAATGGTATTCCATCTCCGTGTCTCCTTTTCTCGAATGAAATATCAATATCAGCTTTGCCTTTTGTTTCTTGAAAAACCAGTGGAGTTACTTGTGCCCACCGTTCGAGGCCTCGTCTTATAGCACCACTGAAAAAGAAGCAAATAATAAAAATTTACGTTTTTAAATTTTATCTGTCATATGACTCCACGAGTACCTCATATGAAATTTACTCGGAACAGAGATCCTTAAGTAGTCATATTAGCAACTTTAGATATATTCAATACGCAGAGCTTAATATTAGACATAACGGTGGGATTCTTCAATAATAGTCAAAGAGTTTATAAAAATGGCGCGTAAGACGAGCGTATTAATCATCGTTTTCCGATCTTTTCTAGATCTTTACAAAAGTTAGGAAAGCGGGAAAAAGACAACTACTAATGGTAAGAAGACGTCTGTGTGTCTCGACGGCCATTTTCACTTTATCCCACCCCAACCGGGGATTAACTGGAAAAAGGGCCTAAGCCAACACTTTGAAGCCATTTTGATGACTTCTTGAATATTTAAACGGAATATAATCTAGTATTTTGAAGGAACTAAGAGCTTAGATTTAAAATTTGATCCCATTGCCGCCAGCGGAACGACAGGGGCTAAAAAAATATTACAGACAATCGATATATTTACTTACTTTTGTTCGGCAGGAGACAATTTTGACGTTGTGCTGTATTTGTGAATCTTCCAAGTGATTGTCTTTTTCGGCCATTTGGTATCTAAAACAATAATGCAACAAGATATACAAACAGTCACAGTATCAGAGGCACCCCTCCAAAAAAAGAAAGAAGGTTAGAAGCGCTATCTAAGGTTTAAAATTTAATAAATTTCATGAAGCTTTTATTTTAGTTTTAATTCCAAGCTAATAAATTAAATTTAATATTCCAATATGCAAAACTTATTGCTGCATTTCAAACCAAATTTAAGAATTATTTTTTGCATGAAATCGCTAAAATCGACAAGAGTGTGAACACAATCCTCCAAAAATAAAATCTACATTTCTTGAAACTTTACAGGGATTGAAAGTGAAAGCGAAGGCTGAGTACAGGGAGGATTGAGGAAAGGACAAAAGATGAACGGGATACAAGAAGACAGAAGATGTCGATTGATGTTGTATTTAAATTTTTGAAGATTGTAGCTATCAGGGAAGCAAGTAAATGGAAGGGAGTTCCACAAGCGGGAAGTGCGAGAAAAGAAACAGTCGCAGTAGCCAAAAAAAGTATCTAAGTTTTAAAATGCATTTGAAAAAATGAACAACAGTTCTATTTTTATTTTTATTTGGTTTTATTTTAGTTGTAATTCCAAAGCTAATAAATAATATTTCTAATATGCAAAATACTTAATACGAATTTAAATTAATTGGAAAAATAGCGAAGTTGTTTCCTGTTGCCTTCTCCAATGTCTGGAACTCGGAATTCACCATTTCAAAAGACGTTAGTGCGAAAGTGGACACTGCAGACTCGGTCGGACACTGGCCGCCGATTCCATTTTCGAGGCTAATAACTTTTCTACTACCCACACTTCATACTTAAAATCAGCCATATTGACAAGAGTATGAATACAATTCTTCAAAAATAAAATGTAAACTTCTTGAAACTTTACAAGGGAGTGAAAGTGAAAGAGAAGACTGAGAATAGGGAGGATTGAGGTAAGGACAAAAGATAAACGAGATTCAAGAAGACAGAAGATGGCGATTCACTAGTACGCAGGTGGTTACAGGGAGTGAAAGTGAATGAGAAGACTGAGAATAGGGAAGATTGAGGTAAGGACAAAAGATAAACGGGATTCAAGAAGACAGAAGATGGCGATTCACTAGTACGCAGGCGGTTACAGGGAGTGAAAGTGAATGAGAAGACTGAGAATAAGGAGGATTGAGGAAGGGACAAAAAATAAATGAGATTCAAGAAGACAGAAGATGGCAATTGATGTTGCATTTAAATGTTTGAAGGGTGTCGTTATCAGGGAAGAAAATAAACAAAAGGGAGTTCAACAGGCGAGAAGTGTGAGAAAAGACATTTTTGGAGTATAGAAACAATCGCAGTAAGATAGGCACCCACAAAAAAAGAATAAAAGATAACAGCTGTGTCCACCGTTTTTATCTTTCTATCTTCTTTAAAATGCAAACTGTTTTGAAGTTTTTTATTTTGCTTTCAATTCCAAGCTAATAAATTAAATTTAATATTCCAGTAAGCAAAATTACTTGAAGAAGCGCCCAATCACACTCAGAAGATAAAATGTCTTATTTACATAGAGTGTATTCAGCGAATTCATCATTGATGTCTTTGACCCCACATCTTGGTTCCTTCATTGTTTTCTCCGTTTCTGGGTCGAGTCTTCCAGTTTCTGGCAATCCGTTAAACTTCTGAAATTTTCTGTCAACAGAAAAATAGGAAAAGAAACTTTTTATATAAAGGGATAACTCATTTCCTTTTTTTAATCAACGTTTTGTCTTCTTTTAACAATGTATTCAGGAATTTTTAAATTTTCTGGAAAATATTCAGAAATTATTTAAAGCTTAAGCCCAATTTTAACCGTAGTAGAACTTAACCGATTATCCGGATACTTTGGAACAGGAAGAAAAAAATATGTTCGAATAATTGAAAATTCCGGACAATTGAATACATTAATTATCGG